TGAGTTGTATAGTCTACCACGCGTCCTTCCCAAATTTTCGCCGAAAAAAAATTGACGCCCTTAACGCCACTCTTCCCATGGCGGTCAAGACGGCCATTGGCCTCCCGCAACACACTTCGACCGAGCGCCTACTCCAACTAGGCCTTCACAACACGATAGAGGAGCTGACTGAGGCACAGTCGATTGGACAGAGAACCCGGCTCCGCCGAACTAAGGCCGGGAGGGCTCTACTTCGTAGACTGGGCTATCGGTCTCCGGCATCCTCCCTTGACGAGGGAGGGCAAAAACCCGCGCCTCCGGCAATTGCTGCAAGAGTTCGGGTAATGCCCATCCCCAAAAACATGCACCCGCAAGTCAACGCTGGCAGGAGACTCGCAAGGGTCCAGTACCTACGTAGACAATATCACGGAGATCCTGACGTACTCGATACGGACGCTGCTTCCTATTCTTCACCCTCGGGCGGTAAATGCACCGCGGTGTGCGACTCGGACGGCAGGAAATGGACTTCGGCACCCCTGAGGGGCTCTCCCTCCGGCGCTGAGGCCGAGGAAGCGGCGATAGCTTTAGCCATATCGACCACCCAGTATAGAGCAGAATTTGATTGCAATACCACCGTTACCATCATAACTGATTCTCAAGCCGCGTGCAGGGCCTGGGCTGGAAACTTGCTTTCTACCTGGAGCAACCGAATTCTATCCAACGTCGATCACACAAGACTGCCTCTGGTCCGGATAGTCTGGACACCCGCCCATGCCTCCCTCCCCGGCAACGGGAGTGTAGACGCCCTAGCCCGAGGATTAACTATCCGGGCTTTGCATAGGGAAGGGAGGAAAGTTGGGTACAACACTAGCCGCGAGGACGAGCAGGAACGCGAACCAGAGACACCGCCCCTAGAAACCTTCAATCATGTCATCGAGTACTACCGCTCGATGACATTTACCGCTCACTCTTTCCCAACCTCCTTCACCTTCATCGATTCTTTTCTGACAGGAACCGGAGTGTATGCCCGGGCTGTCAATCACCTGAACCCTCCCTCTACCACTGTACTCGGACATGTCCTTTCTATGTCGGGGTAGGAGTCCTGCCCGTTCCTAACCCCACCACAACCTCCTGGGAGGCCGCACTACTCAGCTTACGGCCCGAGCGGCAGCGAGTGCTGCTCGAACGGGCTAGACGGGTAGCGGTGGCCTGCGGGGCCTTGAACTTGAGGACCTGACCCGGGGGGCTTAAAGTTTTTACCACCACCACCACCACCGGAAGTCACGTGAGTTGTATCGCTCCCCGTGCTTACTGTGACCGCATGTAATATTTTTTTATATAAAAGTATATCTCTCTCTCTATATATATATATATATATTGTTTTGTATTCTCCGCACCTCCGCGAGCAATCCAAGCAGATAGGGTTTCTTTTATTTGCTTTTCATCACCTAGTGTTGCTGTAAAGGTAGAAGAAGAGGAGTCAGTGAACCTAGTAAACAAGTTCTACTCATGTTCTAGACAAAACGCGTACTTTATGCTCGACGTTTACTTGTATGTATACACTCACCAGTTCGTATTCTCTAGACAGCAGGCATCTTTAGCCTGGAGAGTCTCCAATGATTCGACGGCCTCGGTGTCTGAACTTTCAGCAATGCAATTGGGCGTGTCGTATGCTAGCATTCCTAATTTCTGCGAGCGTTCTAAAATATCTTTTTTTTTTTAGAAGTCGATAGCTTGTCTTGTGCCCAGCATGGCTCTGTAATATCGGACTGATGGCATGCATTCGTACACTGGCCTATACTCGCAACGCTTTCAGCATTGATTGAACACTGTACCATTGACCTCCATCACGTTTATCAACTGACTCTTCGTCCTCAACTTTTACAGTACGCAAACTGACCAACGGTGAGGCGATATAAAGCTGGTGGAACTGAAACTTCGCTTTCTACAATGGCTCGTAAAAAAAAAAAAATTGGAATAAAACAAAAGTCTTAGGCACGGTCGCGGGGAGCACGAGGAATGAAACTCGCGTGACTTCCGGCGAACACAGTTTTAGTGACGTAGGTCGATGCCTCCCTTCTTACCGCCCCGACACCTTGCGGCACACTGTTACGTCACAGGGTACTGGCGGGCACCTTGAATTTTTTTGGCGTGTCAGAGGCACTGTAAGTCCGCCATTTATGTTTCAATGAAACTGACGATGCCTCCAGAAATAACAGGGCAAAATGCATTCATCGGTTGTCGATTAACATTAAAGCGTTCGTGTACCATTATTAGGCTATTATTAATCAGAATATTATTTTAAAATCTTCATAAAAACACGCCACAGGGCTATCTAGTTCTGCATCTGAACAAATACATTGATTTCATTTTTGCTTATTTACATAACTGCACCACTAATAACAACAAAATGCTAAGGTGTACACTCCATTCTTCCCAAAAGTTTGATGACATTTCCCTAATTTTTAGGGAAGGCTTTTTGTTTCAAGTCTTCTCACTGCATTAAAAGGTTAAACTTAAAAAAAATGTAATTAAAAGTACACTATGAGAATAATTTTAGCCCATTTATCAGTTCGCTGTTTCATCCTTAGCTTTATAAGTTTCAACCAGAGCTGGCCAAATTACTCATATTTTGTAATTAAATTACATTACTAATTACTTTGCTGAAAACTGCTGAAATGTAATTAAATTACATTACAAATTACCACAGCCTGAAAGTAATTATTTACCATTACAAATTACTTTTAAAAGTAATGACATTACTTTCGCATTACTTTTGTATACTTTTAAATATAAAGGAGCTATTGATAACTTCCTTTTACAGATAACTTTATATACATTATTTACACAGTTAATGGCACACAGCTAGAACTCTGTTGCATGTTTACCGATGGACAGAGGAACGCACGTGACTGATCCGTTTCCCACCCCAACCCGGACAACTATTTTTGGAGATGACTGAGGACCCTACGCGGATTATCTCTGGGTGGGGGGAGACCAATTGTCATTGTTCACAAAATAGCGTCGAGGCCGTTCCACCAGGGGCCTTAGTTCGACCTACTTCCCGTCCTTCGTTTCCCGAGAATGTCAAGCAGAAAAGCTCGAATCGCAGGCACTTACCAGCCCTATTTCTCACAGTGGAAGATAACACAGAGAGGGTACGCAGCATGCATCAGAAAAAGTAAGCGGAAACTTTCAAGAGTGGGCCAGAAAACGTCGAATGCAAAACCGCAAAACATAGGTAGAGAATCGCGCTGAGCGGGTTTTCACAGTTCAAGAGAGTGGCAGAAAATGTCTAGCTGATAGCGGGCGCGAGAGTCGCACCAGCCGCATTAGCATCAGCAACATAGCGGCGGCCGAAGAGCGTTTTTTGGACAGGTGTAGAGGAAAAAGAAAAAGTAAAATAAAAAGAAAAGCGCTCTTGTGTATTGTGGACACAAAAATATGCCTGGTGCGAAAAAGTAATTAGGTAATTTAATTACAATTACCGTCGCTGGAGTAATTCATTACATTACTAAATTACCTGCTACAAAAAGTAATGAATTACATTACCAATTACTGGAACAAGTAATTAAATTACTGTAATTGCATTACAGTAATTACATTACTGCCAGCTCTGGTTTCAACCTAAACCAACTTTCGCCCTCTCATATTTTTTTTAAAGACAATGGCTTAAGATATAACTTGGAAGTTTGTTGCGCCTTGGAATTTAATAAAGTACCGGTAACCAGTTTATCTGAACTAATACCAAAAAAAAAACACAAAAATTTAAAATCCATAGTCCCTAAGTATTTCTTTATTTGTTTACAAAATCAACCTGCAGCGCCGAAGCATCAAGGCCGGTACAACCTAGTATTACCAACAACAAATTGCTTGTGGAATATGAGCAGGTAACAAATAAGTAAATGCTGTTAACGAAACGCAAATGCAATTTAAAAATCAGAATATCTACCTGAAAGTAGCGGTCCCATAATCGCTAGATGCAATGAACATCTCGTTATTATGAAGGCTATGGACACTTACCACCGCTCAGATGTTTGTGTATTAGGGGGGCAGAAAAGCCAGCGACAAGATACATGCGTTCATTTCCGGACGGGCCTTTTAGCCTCTTTACACCCCAGTGATCTAGGGGATGTTTTGTAATGCCCACGAGTCTGGGACATCCGTCCCTTGGACACTCTCTCGGCAGTTTCTTTGCAAAAACGTTGTAAATAATTATTTGAGCACAGCAACCCGAGGTATTGTTATATGCCTCTGGATAATTATTGACGGCAATAATAAAATATTGAATAGTGCTAACTGGAACCTAAGGGACGCGTACACTTTATTAGATGACCCGACATAATTTCAACGCAATAAACATTTTTTTCAAAAGTTCGCGCCACCTAGTAACTGCTGCGCCGATCATCAGAGACCGCCATTGTTCGGTCACGTGGTCAGAGCATCTGTTGAACACGGGGGCTTCGTTAGCGTTTGACGTGAGCTCGGCTCAGCTCGGGTCGAGGACGAGTGTTACGTCATCGTTGTGGGAACGCTCGGATCTAATCACACGCCTCGTGGCCGAGAAATGGCGACAGCCAGTGTTGCTTGATGGGGTTTTCAAAATGCTCTATTAAGGGGAGGATATTGACGTCACGTAACCTGACGTCACGCGACACGTGGTCAAGTGGCACCGTGACGTCCCACTAGTTTACCACGTCGTGTCACTTTAAGTCACTTGACGTAATCGTTTCACGTAACACCACAACGTGAAAGCGTGGCGTCAGCTTCCCAGCTAAATAGAGCGAGGAAATTTAAGACACGTGGATTGACGTCGTGTGATGCCCGATTACGTGACGCCGTGATGGCATGGTGTTGTGTTTTGGTATCATGTGATATGATGATGTCACGTAAAGTTTTGTCACGTGACGTGTATTTTCTTGCAAACCTTTTTTGGGTAAAATAATACACAAGAGGCTTCGTTCTCCAAATAAAACATCTTATTGTTTTTTTAAACAAATTTAAATGATCGCTCTTTTCAGCTTCGAAGGTACAGCGGTGAATCCATCAGATGTGTACAAGGAGGTCCTTGATCCTTCACTGACCTGGGACGCCATCTCGTGGCTGAAGAGCATTACGGAACTGCCGATTATCCTCAAGGGAATAATCACAGGTACAAAAGCTTAGTAAGGAACCGCCGGGAAGTCTAAACAAGTGTGAATTGTTTCGTTCGTAAAACACGGCCTATTATTGTTTACACATTGAGAAAGTTTGTCTGGGTCCATTACCCGTCCTCACTGGACGATGCCTATTCGCAACTCCAACGCCACATAGATGGCTGGGCGGAGGAGTCGGGGACGGTTTTTCTATGCGCTTGTTCGCTGACGTCGGTTAGTGTGCTTACATGCATATACTGTATCTGGCTAGAACAGCTAAGCGGCCAGAGCAAGAGCAGACCCCAGATGACGAAGATGTTGACATCTGTTCGAAGGACGAACAGGTTGACACTTAGAAAAGGGTTTAAAAGTTTTAAAACTTGACAGAACTTGCGAAGCTTATGGACGTCGAGCGTACTTTGGACGTCGGCAACGTCATTGTGTGTTCTAAACAATTGGAGGGCGATGAACAGATTGCGGTGTTTGTGTTGCGCCTGCACTGTAAAAAAATAGCTGTGAAATAATATACCAGTTATAGAAATTATATATTCTTTCTGCAAAAAACTTGTGTAAACAGCCCTACATTTTACACTAATATTGAGCGTATCCGCAGTTAAGGGTGCGTCGAAAGCTTAAGCTTGTACACATATACTGCTCAGGCCGTAATGTTTGAATGTTCATAGTACTCTATTACCCTCAGATTTGGTTAAGTTGTCTCCTGATTGCTTACAACAGAAAGAAGGAAACATTCTAACTCTGGGTTGGTAGAAAAACTCCACCTGCTGATAGCTACCAATCATCTGGGCGCCGTTTATATGCATACACTGCATGCCAACGGTCGTGTGCTTAGAACGAGTTTTCCCCACGTGATTCCATATAATCGCAGTTGTTCTTGACAATGCTCACGCAAGCGGCCACTTGTGAAGTTCAGAATATTTTGTATTGATTGTGGGACACGTTGTCAGCAGCATAGATGTTTTTTTTTTTTTTTCAATCCGCGAAATACAATGCTTTTGGGTTACCTTGATCTCTCCGATGTAGCACACTAAAAAGCATGAAGCGAATCGCAGTGGGAAACAAAACAATAATGATAGACACGTGTGTAATCACGTGAAAACGGAGGGCATTGCGCATAAGCATAAGGTAAGTTTTTGTTACACGAAACACATTACCAGTAACGTATCTGGTTTTATCATGCGTGCGAAGCGGAACATCAGGCGGGAGGATTCTGCGCTAAACTACTCTTCCAGTGAACAAGTGCACCGTTCAAAGCATGGAGCTCGCTTTTATAGCTTTTGGTGCGCTCAAACCTTTTAAAAAACAATTACAGTGAATGCTATTATTTATCTATTTTTAAGAAATGCGCGTATGTTTTTTTTTGTTTTGTCTTTTGTGTTATTGAGTCATTTTCTTAGTTATACAATATTTTACCCGAAGTCCGACAACTGAGGGACCATGGGCATTAGTGGTACAAGTCTACTTGTACCACTTTGTTTTTTTGCGTACTGAGGTGTAAGAGAGTTCCGAGTTACTTTTGCTCTAAGTTTGATGACTTGGGAAGGCTAATTCGCCTCAAGAACTGAAAGTAAGCCACCACAAGTCGATAAAAGCAACTTTCTCCTTTTGCCGTGAGATGGCACCACCTCCAAAAGATTTCGCGGAAACGCGTTTTTAGCAGACGTTCAAACGTACTTTTAGCAGTCGTGTCACACCACCTTAGCAGACGTTCTGCGAGGCTTTGAAAAACAATTAAATGCGGCGTGAGCAGATGCTCATGCTGAAGCGGACGTATAAACGCGGCTTGCGTTTATGTGCAACTTTAGCAGGCGTTGAAATGCGGCGCTGGCGTCTAAACGCGGCTTACGGATACTTTCAACATTAGCAGACGTTGGAATGCGGTGTTAGCATAATGCTCATGCAGAAGCAGACGTAAAACGCGGCGTACATTTCCGTGCAACCTTAGGAGAGTTTGAAACGCGGCGTCGTGATCGAATGCGGTCTACGTTTACACCCAACTTTATCAGACGTTCGAGCAGCAGTTTCAGAAATATTTGCATTAAACTTAGCAGACGTTCAAGAACAAAGAAGACATTGACGCGAAACTTTCGCAGACGTTCGTTTCCCTGAGGATGTTGAACTACCAACCCTTTGTTGGTTTTCGCTAAATTAACAATGCAGTCGGACAGCGACGAATGCGTCGAACGCGATAACACAGAATGGGCACACCAGACGGAAAGGGGCCGCAATCGCCGTCGAAGAAGTGGCAAGTGGAATTGAAACGTGAGCAAAAGAAGCGAAATCAAGTAAGCTATGCCTATTTTTCGAGTATACTGCAGTTTCATGAGTAACATATTTGTCTCGTTATTTTTAGGGGGACGAGTACAAAAACGCCGCAAAAAGGTCGGTCAAAAAAAAAAAAAGATGTTTAAAATGACCACGTCGTGCTGCAAAAAAAAAAAGTGTCATGGAAAAGTGTTCAGCAGAATGCAGAAAAAAGAGTTCAATACATTTTGGAATCTCGACGATTTCCACAAGCAAAACATCCACCTTGAGGGTAGAATGAAAAGTTATGTTCCTGCAACTAGAAGAACGAACTCTGTCCAAGCGAAGAAGTGCACTTGGATTTATAAAGTCCGATCCGGCCAACCTAAGTGCGAACTTGTTTGGAAGCGGTTCTTTTTGAAGCTTTACATGATCACAAATGAAAGACTGCCGAGAGTACAAGAGAAGCTGCTGGAAGGTCGCGAGCTCAACGACGGCCAGGGAAAACATGTCACGCGGTTGATCAAGTTGACTGAGGACGTGAAAGACCTCATCATGACTTTTTGCAAAAGCCTTCCACACAAACAATCCCACTGTAGTCGTCGTCACTTCGACTTGTTCTACTTCGAAAACAGCGACCTTAATCTGACAGTACTATATTCTTTTTTCGATGACTATTTCCAGAGCGTCACTGGCGAAGAGCTCTCTCTCTCTCTCTCGCTCTAGCTTCTGTAAATATTTTAATCACACAGTTCCCTTCACCTATCGACAACCTCGGAATGACGCACGCGACTTCTGCTTCGAACAACGAATTCAGGGTGGTGAAGGCTCAGTGGAATACAAGTAGCATCTGAAGGAGGCAGAGAAACAGAAAGAACTCAAGGAAAGGCCTTATCGATGACGATACAGCACTTGTCCTTGATTTTGACTACAGTCAAAATCTACCGCTTCCACAACAACCAGCCGCGGATCAGTTTTACTGCCCCGTCCTACTTTGGTTGTATCTTTGCACCATTCATGTGCATGAAATAGACGCCTCCTAAAGTCCAAAAAGAGCCAAACACATGCACGACGAAAGGGCCGGCCCGTCATATAATTCTGATTACATTGAAATATGTGTAATTGAATTCCGAGATATCCAATAACGGCGCGCAGGCAATTTTATATTTTTTTCAGCGCGTCGGTTGTTCGCCATTTGGCTGAAGACAATTTTCGCGTTTTGTTCTGCCCACATTTGCTGGAGACGTGAGCTCGAAGCGTAGGCAACTGGCCCCTTGCACGAGAACTGGCGCGGCCGTGCGCGTTCCAAAGAAAGCTCGCGCCGAGGAAAACAAGCGAAGGACCAGGGATGCTAATTTCAGGATATAGAAAAAATACCCCACTGTATCTAAGCGCCACGACACACGATTTCTCGCATTGATGTACAGGCCTGGAAGGCGATCCCACCGCCATCTCTTGGTTCAGAATCACACTAACCAATGTTGGGGCTGCACGTTAAGGGCGGACAGGGTATATCACTATAGCCTCCTATATCCTGACCAAGACTGGCAGCTCGCTCCAAGAAGCGGTCGCCGAAATTGAAAAGGTGGAGCGGTAGACAACGAATGAGAGGAGAGCCACGTGACTGGTGCCCCGCTGCGGCGAGACGCCAAAACACGCTTCTCCCCAGCGAACAAGTGTGTTTCTGGTCCTTGTCACTGCAAAAGCTCCGCGCTGATGTCCACGTCCGCTCTGGTGTCAGAAATGGCATTCTGATGCCCTGTGCTGTCACTATATCACACGCTTTATTTTATTTCTTTATTGAAAGACCCTGATGTTTGTTTTCAGGAGATATGATTATCTTTATAGTATCGTAAAGGTTTAATCGCGTGAATCAAAATCTATATTTTTTTGCACCATTGTGGATCCTATTTTGCTCGTGTGCTATATTCAAATCTGCTAATGTATTAGTGGGAATGTCCCCATGTACTACTTTTTTTCTCAAATATTTTTATGTTACATCTACTGTAGATGCTTTGTTAAATTTTACATTCATGCTGCACAGCACGTTCTTGCCAATAGGTGCATTTTTTGTAGGCTAAGGGCTGTTTAGCGGCACCGCAAAAGGTAAATAAAAAAATATATGACTGCACATTAGGAAACATTTATACCGTAAGCATATACAGCGATGTCTCGTTAATGTGGACACCTCTGCCCCCCCAAAAGCGTTCATAATGTGAGTTATCTATAAGAAAGAGGCAATTATTAATGCATTTATCCAGCCCGTCTCTGACAATGCAGTCGATATGGTGGTGTATCCAAATTAACGGGCCCATATTAACGAGAAGTGGCAGTATTAGGTCATTGTAATACCTTTCCAGGTGCTACTTATCGCTGTATGTGTTAATATTGAACCCAAATTCTCCTACAATAACTATTCACTAGGTTCTTGCTACGCTTTCCTTCTCTTCCAGCCGAAGACGCGGAGGAGGCCGTCAGTCGTGGCGCTTCCGCCATACTTGTATCCAATCATGGTGGCCGGCACCTGGATGGTTTGCCAGCAACGGTAGGTTCATTTATCTACTCGTTCGTTTTTTGGTTCGTTCGGCCTTTTCGAAAAGAGAGAAGAAAGTGTTCCGTTTTTTGTTTCTGGACTAACAACTAGCAGACGTTGTTTTGGCTCAAGGATGCCGGTGTAAAAACGCGGGGGATAACACCACCACGCGCATATTATCGCGTGTTTTCGCAACGCCTTCCTTGCGCTTGTTATGCATCTGGTAATTTTAGCGCTCCACCGCTCTTCCCAAACACTCCAAAGTTTTTTTGTTTTTTTTTTAATTTACTGGTTCAGGAGATTTTTATGACATTCGACACTTTCCTTATAAAACCATATATTTATTTTAAATAATTGAAAAGCTCACGAGCAAATCTTTCCTCATCATTCCACCAATCGTGGCAATTAAATCCTCATATTGTGTCTCCCTGGCCGTATATCTCAACGCAGAAATCGCATTAGTGTAGCTTTCACGGCTTTTTAACGATCTGTAAAACCTGAGAAAAAAACAGACACTTTGTATACTCAGATGAGGTGCTGTTCACCCGTGTTGTGCTATATGAATATATCTAAAATACTCCTTAAGTCTTGCTGATAAATAATAAAATCATAGAGATTGGAAGTCTAAAGATTTCCTTCGAACATTAAAGAAGTGTTTCTTCAAAAGTCTGAAGTTTGCATAGGTCGTCTCTTGCGCCTGCCCTCACATATATTTTTGTTGCCAGGTTCAACGGCGCCACTGAGCTCGTCTTTAGCTCTCCCGTGACAAAAGTGATCAGATATGTCAATGATTTTCTACTTATTTTCGACAATCGCACTGAAACAGAGAAAGTCGCCAGTGTTATGAACATTTTTTATAAGTGTAGTTTAGCCTTAGATTCACCTATAAAGAGCCTAAGAAAGGCGTCTTAAAATATCTAGGCCTATCGCTCTCACTTCACTACAACTATTTATTCTGGCGCCTGTCCCAGCTCTTAAGAAAAAGTGTATTCGATACTCGTCAGCGCACTCTAAAATTGTTAAGAGAAGTAGAGCTTTATCATGTCTTGGATCAGCTCTAAAAAAGTGATGTTTACATCACATTAATGACAGCTTCAAAGCTCAGTTTGACAGACTGCGGTCCGGTTCCCGTGGCAGGTGTTAGGTGAGGGTGTGTGATCCCTGACTAAAAAAGAAATAATAAAAGGAGGAAAAAGTAAAGGCCCGTTCACATACTTGCGTACAGCTTGACCACTACGCTTACAAACGAATGGAATCGGTTGGAACGACGAGTTGGCATGCATCGAAGCGCCAAACGGCCGTTTCGTTCGTGTTCGTTCGCAACGCACGGGAGTTGAGACGGGCTGAAGTTTTTCGCTGAGAACGAACGGGGGGGGCGGGGGGGGGGGGGGGGGGCGAAAGCACCGACAGACCAATCACAGGTCGAGGAGAGCTCGGTCGCGCCCGTTGCATGCCGGTCGCGGTCCCTTGTTTGCCGAAAAACATGGCGTCGGTGGTGATCGTCAACGTGGTCGGCGCTGTGGAAGCTCATCGTTCCGCGCGCAGAGCACTTCTTGACTGTGAATACTCGTCGTGTATAGCGATGATAACCCAGCACATACTAGAAGGGAAGATCCGTCTATTCGTGCGGCGATGTTGTGGCGGCACTCTCAAGACAGCAGAAATCCTCGCGCCGTCGTGTTTGATTACCTAGATTACAGTGATGCTTTCTTAGCGTTTCAGTCCTCGAACGTTGCCAGGATCTCTTATTTTGCACAATACATGCGTGTGCTCAAGTTCAAGGTATTACTGGTGCGTACCGCATTTAAAGGCGTGCATGAAGGAAGCGAATATTCACGCGTTTTCATCACCCGAGAAAAGCGATTAGTGGTAGCATTGGTGAACGCTCGCAACGAAATCTTAGTTCTACGTTGCCATATCGCTGCTAAGAGTACATCGTTTTTTGTAATCGTAGAAAAGGCGTGTCGCGAGGTGTATAATTTTGGTAAAGTCGTGTGTAAAGTTGTGATCACACAGACTGCTTACTGCATCTTTTTCTTTTCTTTTTTTATGCACTCCCCTGCGTGCCTACCCAGGGAAAAATAGTACTGAACAAAGCTTGAGGCCATAGAAAACTGTCTGCCCATTTTCTGCTACGCCACTGAGTGGCAGCGCGTCCCCTTCTTCTTGGAGGCACCGCGGAAACAGCTGACGGCGGAGAAGCGGCCGCCGTGCTGACGACCTGCTGCGCTTGTTGCAGTGGTTGCAGGAGTGGTGCACGCGCGGCGCAGAACGGTCGATCCGGATAAGAACGTTCACAACGAACGCAGTCGCAGCTAACGCGCTCGTTGCAAATTTCTGAACCAGCCTTAATACGCGCATGGTTGAGAAAATATGGGTGGTAGTGGTACCTTACTTGCACAAGATATCGCATAACTTAAAACAAGTAGTCCAAAAATAGGGGGATCTAGTTGTATTTTCAGCAACTAAAAAAAAATGGCAAAAACTTGTTTCAAGGTATACTTAAATTTGGACAACGTTTCCCGACAGAACTGTAAAAAGAAACATGCTAACAATTTTGTACCCTGTACTTCATGCATAGTATACTGTATCCATTTGACGTGTGGTAGAAAGCATGTAGAACAGACTTGACGGTATATCAATAATAGGCTACGAGAGCATAACCTGCTTTTAGACCAGCGGTGGGGGGTCATCTGCCCGTGCACTGTCAAGCTTGTTCTTGCAATCCAACTCAGGCTAGTACCACTTTCATCGGTAGATATAAGAGAAAAACTTTCCGGAGAAATTCACGAGGCGCTTATTTTACGATGTTTGAGAAAGCACTGTGATAGCAAGCCTTCAGTAGCACTATCTGAAAAAGAAGCATCGTTTTTAAACGCTTCTATGAGCATAAAGCCATCGCCTCGCGCCCTTGAGTTTTTGTGCAATGAGCAGTACCTGTCTGATATATGTAATCTTGTTCTTCTCTTGTGGATGAAATATTGAGTTAAGACTTAAACGTTTGTCCTGTCTTCTGTATTCTACAGTTTCCTACCTTTTTTTGTGCTGATTTTAACGATATTTAATGCTTACCAAATAGCCCAGCTCTCTAAAGATATGTATTCTACCCACAAGTACGAACAAACGCCTAATGATAGACTCTGGTAACGCAAAGCCACTATGATATGATTTTTTTTTTTCAAATCAGGGTTTGGTTATAAATTCTAGCAGAACAGCAAAATGTTCAAGCTTACGTGCACGTAATTTTCTTAACCACATGGAACCACCAAAACTTTTCTGCTGATGATGTGAACATTTTATGGAACAAGTTTAAGGAGCATGTCAACTATTGCTTACGAAAATTTATACCCGACAAACGGAAGCGTATTTGGGGTAACAACCCGTGGATAACTCAAGAAATTATTCAGTTAAATCGTAGGATTAAGCGACAAAGGAAAAGACAAAACCCAGATTCGGGTGTCATTTTACAACTAAGTAACACACTAAAGTAAAAACTGCAAGACTCAAGATCATTTTATTTCACGAATACGCTTCCAAACTTTGTCCGGGAAAACCCACAAAAGTTCTGGCAATATCTGTCTAACTGAAATAAGAAAGTTGAGCGGCTTAGGGAAGGCGGCACGATAATTGAAGACGCCGTAGTTATTGCCGACACATTCAATAATTATTTTCAGGGAGTTTTTACGCCGTGTAGTGAAATCTTGTTGTGTAATGCGGATGATGAAAGCGATATGACTTTTGAAATTTCATATCATGGCGTGGTATCTATGGTATTAAACATTGATGAAAGAAAGGCGCCGGGGCCTGATAACATACCGAGTGCCTTTCTTAGAGGGTATGCTGAATCACTTGCTCACTTCCTAACAGTCATTTTTCAAGTCTAATTTTTAACAACTTCTCTACCCAATGACTCGCTCAGAGCACGCGTTGTACCCGTTCATAAGAAAGGAGATTACATGTTGGCCACTAACTTCCGTCCGCAATCTCTAACCTGTCTATCATGCAAGCTTATGGAGCATTATAGTGGTAAAATATGTTAAAACATTCATAGAACGAAATAATCTACTTTCTGATCAGCAACATGGGTTTAGACAGGGGTTTTCTACCGCCACGCAACTGGTAACAACGGTATATGAGTTTGCAACAGTTCTTGATCATGTCGGCCAGGTAGACATCATATTCTTTGATTACTCGAAAGCCTTCGATAAAGTACCCCACGATAAATTACTATTTAAACTGCATCAGCTTGCCATTAGTCATAATATACTTAAGTAGGTATCTGCTTATCTTCGTAATAGATCCCAATTCGTAGACGTTAACGGAAGTTACTCTCGCATTTTGAAGGTTACGTCGGTGGTGCCACAAGGTTCCGTGCTGGGACCATTGTTACTTTTAATATACATTAATGATCTAGTATCCCTCCTGGGCATGGACTGTTCAGTCCGCTTATTCGCCGACGATTGTGTTATTTTTTCCGCTATCACCTCTCCCGTAGATCAAGAAGTTCTGAACAATAAACTTAATGGTTTGGCCAGTTGGTGTGAACAATGGAAAATGGCAATCAATTATGACAAAACTGTTCACCCCTGCATGACAAATAGGAAACACCCTTTAAAATTTCAATACACACTCGGAGAAACACCCATCAATGAAGTGTCAGAATACAAATACTTAGGTGTAACACTAACTAGTGACTTAAAGTGGTCAAAACATATTTATAACATCTATTCAAACACTCGCCGAAAGCTTGGACTACTAAGAAGAAAACTCTGCGAGGCACCAAATGAACTCAGAAAACTTGCTTATTCGACAATCGCCCGACCCGGTATAGAGTATGCTAGCATAGTATGGGATCCTTATAAAAGAAAGATATAAGACAACTCGACAAGATACAAAACGTAGCACTGAGATTTATCTACCGACGGTTTAATAGATTCGATTCCCCAACAGACATGTTACGTCTGTCCAACCTTCCCAGGCCGCCTCGGTGGCTCCGAAGCAAGAGCGCCGGCCTACGGATTCCCAGGTGGCGGGTTCAAATCCCGACCGAGGTGCCCGCAATATGACGGAGGCTTATTACGGAGAAGGCGCCGTGTAACCGAGCTTTCGGTTGCACGTCAAAAGACCCCCAGGTGGTCAAAATTAATCCTCAGTCCTCCGCTGGGGAGTGACAGATCACTGATGCCCGTCGTAGGTTTGGCACGTAAAACCCCCAAATTTGACTTTCCAACCTTCCCACCCTTACTCAACGACGAAAAATAGCTCGGTTAAAATTTCTCTATTCTCTTTATTTTCATAGATTGAACATTCAGCCACAAAGTTATATTTCACAACTTGACACGCGCTCGACAAGGCATCGTCATTCACTCACCTTAACCCCCATATTTGCAAGAACTAATATGTACAAGAATTCTTTTTTCCCTAGAACCATTGAAGATTGGAATAAGTTGCCAAACGAAGCCTTCGAAACTCAGATATATTTTTGTCGGGTTTTTTAATACTAGCACCGTCATCACATTACAACCTATTTTCGTTTGCTGCTGTTGTTTTTTGCTTTTTGAAATTTATGCTTTTTTTCTCTAGGGGGCAGTCTGGTCCCAAACTGCATTTTTTTTTGTTTTGTTTATGCGCACATTTCAAAACCTCTGTGACAAAGTGTTGTTTATGCTGTTCTGATAAATTGTATAACGCAGCCTCATGTGTACGCGTTTGTGTTCATGTGTTTTGCCGTATGTATTACTATTATATTTATTATGTATGCTATCCCTCCTGCTTGGGCCCATGTGGGGCCTGCAGTATATGTAAATAAATAAAAAAAAATAACATAGATGATAGATCCACCAAACAAACGGAGTGTTTTCGTCAATATGGGGCATCTAGGTTTCAATTGCCATGCAAGGTCTCGACCATTTTCTGACGTTAGGTGGAGGCCCTCCCCGACATCGTTGCTGCAGTCCGAGGCCGCGTCGAAGTCTACGTTGATGGCGGTATCCGTCGCGGCACGGACGTCATCAAGGCCCTGGCACTCGGGGCCAAGGTCGTCTTCGTTGGTCGCCCTGCCATCTGGGGACTGGCGTACAAGGTGGGACGTTGAATCGCCTGTCACCGTCCTACACTCTAAAAAAAAAAGTGCAAAAGGGTGTATAGTTACACCCTTTTGTCCCATATAATACACCCCAAAACTTCATTTCGACGTACAGCGCCCTATAGTCGAACAGACGGCCCCATATTTTACGAGGGGCTTAATAACGGTGCGATATGTTTTTAAATAGGTAAAATACGTATCAAAGACTACGTGAAGAAAACACTGAGTTTTTACAGGAGTAAAGAAAACCCCGATTATTTTTTTTTGTAGTCAGTAAAACGTACATTAGCTATTTTATTAAGGTGTACCACACGGCTATCAAGCCCCTCGTAAAATGTCGGGCCGTCTGTTTGACTGTGGGGCGCTGTGCGTCGAATCGAAGGTTTGGGGTGTATTATATGGGACAAAAAGGGTGTAACAATACACCCTTTTTTCTTGAGAGTGTAGCCTAAAAGTTAAACCTTAATGACTGTCTTTCTGGACTTTTAACTCTTGCTCATTATCTTTTTCTTGGCGTGTTAGTATATATACCACGCATAATGAAAATGACATAAAAATAAACCGCCCTTGTACATTCCCCAAGTAATAACGATAAAATTCTTCAACGTTAAAATTTCTTAAAGGATCTCGGTATTGAAATTTTTAAATAACCTCAGCTAAAAAAATTCCTATAAAACAAATTCTGCAATTGGAAAAAAAAAGTCCTTCATGGGGGCGAGAATTCATAAAATTGAAAGAATAACACACTGTGCTTGTCCTCTGTGTTTTATTCTTTTAATTTTAGGTATTCATGTTCAACCCGCTCGCCTTCACCAGGTGAGAATGAGTTAGGAGGGAATCAGACACCATCGTTTTGCACGGCGCAGTGGTTTTGTACCCACAGCAGGCCTTTTCTGAATTTGACACTGCGCACATTTTAGTGGGTTGGTATCTCGATGAGGCCGCAAAATGTCAGTTTTAGCGGCTCAAATCTGGCGCGCGGGAGAAGGGTATGTACACTGCGCGGCACTGTTTGCGCGAGCACGACTTCGGCGCTGCTTCGCGGTTTACTTCTGAGGGGTACTGGCGGGAACAAAAATATACCACATCTATCACCATAGGAATTTTAATGGCAGTCCTTCAATGCTGAAAAAAGAAAAAAATCCAGAAGACTGAAAAAAAAAAAAAAAAACAGATTGCAGGGATTGGCTTTTTTACGTGCTTTGAGGGAGGGAAGGACCTCCAGGTTGTTTTCAGATTGTAGGCTTGATGCAGTCGGGATATTTTTCCATTCATTCAACACCAAACACCGCGCGGTGTTCGCAGGAGCAAATCCACGGACTGCGGCGAAAATTATTCGGCGCTTCATAATCTCGCACCTTCAAAAATCAAATAGAATCTTGTTGTTAGGGACCACGACAGTGCACCGATGGCCAGGTTCACGTGAGCCATCCATTCCCGTAAAAGTAAGGGTGAGGGAAAATGAAACACGAAACATGAAATTGATTAAAGGAAAAATACATACGCAAGCTGGTAGAATCCATCATAATAATAACGCGAGACTAAAAAGTAGTTAAGAAAAAGGAAACATATTACAACGTATTCAACGCGTTTCCAAGAAAGCTGCGTTGATGACATGTTGGAAAAGTTGAATGTGGTTGTCCATTTGTTTTTCCAGTCTCAGGTTATTATTATTCTGAAACATATGTCACCAATATCGTTGCTGAAAATGATAGCCGTGTAAAAATATGTTTTCGAAACAACGTTTTGAACGCTATCGAACGTTATTTCCGGAACCCCATAGCGTAAACATTTCTTTCCAGGGCGAAGCCGGCGTCAATCAGATGCTCGAAATACTGAGAGAGGAGATTGACAGGACGCTGGCACTCATGGGTGAGTTGCGTCACACATTTCCGTTTTGGCTGACCTAGCTCATGTACGGTCAGTGACTCCTATAGGGAGTATTCACTGGCGGCCATAGCTGTGTGCGCGAATTCTAAGCGCGTGCTGACGGCGAGCTTCCAAAGTTCTTTTGGAACGTGCATTTTGTACCATGAAGAGTGCCGGTCTTAGCAGCCTATTGATGTGAGCTCGTTCTGAGCATGCGCTTTAAACAGCACCCACAAATATGGCGTCCAGTGAATACTTCCTATTCGCGACTCCAGCAAAACGGACGCCGCCAAGCGGGAAAACCGGGAACCAGCCGGTCCAGGTCGATCCGCGCCCCGCCGCGTCTCTGATGGCTTTCGCGGACGCGTGCTGTCGGCGCGGCGGCGAGCAATGTAATTTGACGAAGGTCCAAAAATTTCTTAAGTTTGCCTGAGTGTTCATTAGTGTGGTGAAGCCTCGATCAGTAGATTGTTTCTTTCCATCACGTGTTTGACAGCCCGTTTATTTCACAACACACGGTCGCGTGCTTTCAATTTTTTGGATGGGGAGGAATCACAGAAAAACGTTTTGATTTCTTGTCTGTCTCTAATGACAATCAAAGTGACGACTGCTTGGTAACTGATAAGCGGTTTCTTTATAAGGATGTAGAACAGTAGACTGAGGTCGACAGACAAAGTGTTTTACTGGAGGGGACACCAATGTTGCAGTCAAGTGAATGGGAAGGTTCGATAGCTGCTTTCCTTGAGTTTGGTTGTGCTGGATTAGCTTCAGGTTAATTTGAGCCACTAACGCCGGCCGGTGCGTTGGCTATTCATCTTGGCGGCTTTTCGCCGAAAAAGACCACATTGAAGGAGTTGGGCTAATTTCGCAATTAGTTGATTCAGAAAACCTGCTTGCTGCATATGATTAATGAGGGAAATTATCTGCTTTCAAAAGGTGGGGGACGTGTCTCGCAAAGATAGAAGCTGTCACGTCATTAGGATCTATCGCGCCTCCAATACTTATAAACTTATAACCCCTGTCGAATCCAGCAGCAATATACGTCTACATTGCTCAGGTTGACCGGCCACAAAAAAAAAAAAATACTAATTTTATTTGTTCAGGATTCAAAGTCAAGCTCAATGCAGAGAGGTCTGAGTGAATCTCCGATGAATACTCTCCTCAGCTTGTCGGCATCGTCTCCGTTCTACCGGCTAGAACCATTTGGCTGAGTTTAAGTGGTATCTCTCTGTCTGTCAAATATACTTTTATTCAGCCGTTCACCCTAATAGTTAGTCAACTAAGTTCATATTTCAATTCGAAGAACATACTAATATTGCTTTAGTGGGACCATAGTACGTAATATAATACATAACCGCATATTCATCAAAATGACTTCTCGATTGCTTCTAAAACCTGAATTGAAATACGAGTATCAGCGGCTTAGTGAAGTGCCAGCGAGTTGACATGCTCCTTGGCTCAAGAAGCGCTTGCTTAATTTTCGTAATTTTCCTGCAGCCTGTGTTCTTGACCGAACACATGACTGCAGCTGTTTCTTGAAACGCGGACAGGCACAAAAGCTCAATTTCGCGGACAGGTAAGTCGCATGATCGAGGCATGCGAGTTAGCTAAACATTACTCTTGGTGGAACAATTTTGTAGTCATCGCCGCTTTCCTTAAATGATCAAAACTAATTAGTCTATTACCGTTTCTCCGGAGCCCATAGTTTCGGTTTTGATCGGTCTCCGCAGCGAAAGTTTGACATGAAAAGAACAAAAAACACCGGCAAAACAAAACTATGCTCGGCAAGCTTATGCGCACCGGCTAAACTTAACTGTCTCAGTTCAAATACCCATAAAATTGGACATTCAACAAAAGAATAAGTGTTAAATTGAATGCGCCACCCATTCAGGCGGCCCGGCCGAGCCGACGCGACCTGGACTCAGCCGCCATGTTTGTTTGGTGGTGGCGCCCCCTATAGGTCGCTGGAGTCGCGAATACAGTCACACAATAACCTGTCGACTCCTAGCAGTGGCATGCGCAAGGGAGAGGGCAAATACTACGTACGGCTGCCGTTCAGAGGAGCCACCAAGACTTTCAGAAGAAACCTGATGTGTAGTGAAGCGAACCATCTGTTCCGTAGGAGACTTAAGGCCCGTTCACACTTGTGCAACCGAGTACGACCAGGAGAGACGAGACCGGTTTTGAAGCCCCTTGCGACGTCTTAAGACCGGGTGCGCTGCAGCAGAGCTGGTCCTAAGACGTCGTAACAGGCTTAAAAACCGGTTTTGCCTTTCTCGGTCGTACTCGGTTGCACAAGTGTGAACGGGCCTTTAATGACGTTGCCCCAGGAGCACCAACAGCAAGGTATTTGAATGTCCTTGATCGAGAATCTAAAGCTCGGCACTAGCTCGCGGGTTTTAGCGGAATATTATTTCTTGTTTTGTTTTCTCTCATTCACCTGCAAACCAGTCGGCGCAAACTATTTCTGTGCGCGTGATTCATGGTAACCGCCAAAGCCCCAACACGTCGCCGAAGCAGACGGCCCAGCGGCAAAGCGTTCTCCGCGTTCCCGCTACACAAGCGCCGCCTGGCCGCGCTTATTTCGTGGTTGCGGTATTTTTGTCTCACCCACACTTATTTGAGTAAGGATGGTCATCATCCACAAAAATGTTCCACATGTTAAAAAACAAACACACACACACACACACACACACACACACACACACACACACACACACACACACACACATATATATATATATCTTAATCTAAATAATACATGCTAGAAATAGCATAAAAACAAACGGCCGCTTGGCAACGCTACCTAGCCGTTCGTGCATGTTGTGAAATGGAGCATTGGCACTGGACATCTCTTTGAGAGAAGCCGACCGGCATAATGTAAGATACGTTATATAGGAGGCACCGCTACGGTATCGGGAAATATCAATTAGGGAGCTTTAGGGAACCGTTTTTGCACACCCGACACGGCACCGATGGGCCCTCCGGTATACGAACTGCGCATATTAGAGTCTTCTGGGGCAGCGCATGCGCAGTACGCACCGGAGATCCCACCGTACCGTATCGGACGTGAAAGAGACGATTCCCTAAAACTCCCTAAGAGAGAGTTTTAGAGAACTGTATTTGCACACCCGACACGGCACCGATGGGCCCTCCGGTATACGAACTGCGCATATAAGAGTCTTCTGGGGCAGCGCATGCGCAGTTTGCGCCGGAGATCCCACCGTACCGTATCGGACGTGAAAGAGACGGTTCCCTAAAACTCTTTAACAGAGAGTTTTAGAGAACTGTATTTTCCCATCCGGTACGGCACGATGGGCCCTCCGGTACGTACTGCGTATATGCTACCACTGTAGACTCGCAGATACGCAGTTCAAACCGGAGGGCCCATCGTACCGTACCGGATGTGCAAATACAGTTCTCTAAAACTCTCTCTTAGGGAGTTTTAGGGAACCGTCACCATGTTCTGCGTACCGCACTACTGGAGCCTTTGAAGTATGCTTTTAAAGGACACATGCAAAGGAAAAAAACATTTTTTTTTAAACGGCTTAGATGGAAAAAGGACGCCATAAAACGATTTACAACGAAGAAAAAAAATTTGAGAGCTCTATTTACGGCGCAAAACGAATTTGTAGTTGGCGCCCGCGGGCACCGCGGAAAAGTGGTCCGTATTTATCACGTGACTGGTCCTTATTTATCACGTGGTGCTTGCGCTCTTTCGGAAGCTTCCTATGGCCTCTAAAGGTAACTTATTAATCTTTGTTTGAAGTATAACAAGAAACTAAGATGAATAAGTAACTTTTAGAGCCCAAAGGAAACTCCTGAAAAAGCGCAAGCAGACGTGATAGACCTGTGCGCCGGTTAGACGAAAGCGGCGGCGCCCCGAGGCAGACGAACTTGTGCGGCGGCGGCGACGGCGGCGTGGAGAAACGCGTTGAAGCGGCGTTCGCACAACGCTCAGCGTGCGGCGGCGACGCAGCGCGGCGGCGCGCGGGCCTACCACGTGACCAGCGGCGGCTCCCGCGAGCGCCAACTACAAATTCGTATAGCGCCGTAAATATAGCTCTAAAAATTTTTTTTCTTCGTTGTAAAATCGTTTTATGACATCCTTTTTCCATCTAAGCTGTCTAAAAAAAATTTTTTTTTCCTTTGCATGTGTCCTTTAAGCGCGCGTCCGCTGTCACGGTAGCACTTGTGCGCTCGCTGGAAAGCATGCTGCAAAGGCTCTAGTATTGCGATACGCGGAACACTCTAACGGTTTGCTAAAAGTCCCTCCCTATACTTAATCTCACACGCATCTGCAGAGTAGACAAATACACGGGCATGAGCTCGTGGCTTTTGAAAGTGACTCCTATGCACGAGGTCTCGTACAAACAAAAAACATTCTGCAGCGCTAAGCTATACGCGCCTGTGCTTTTTTTTTCTACTGCAGACATTTGTGAGACGAAGTCAAATTATCTGAATGGATCACACGCGTCGCTGTAGGTGAAATCGGATTACCAACGGCTGGTTCTACTGTCTACATCACTAAGGCAATAGGGTGCCTCAAGGAACCTGCGTGCAAGGAAGAAAAGATTTCCTTTCTTGCTGATAAGTCTGTTTCTCTGAAATAAATGCCGGAAGCGCCAGCAATTAACTTTTTTTTTGACAAAATAATGCTTACTGGAAGTTGGTTAATAGAGAAATTTCGTCTTGACGTTCTATTCCGGTACGGTCATTTTCTCAAATTTAGAAAACCTATCCGCTACGGCTAAGGTCACATTCTGACGGAGTACCAGCCTTCTGCAAATCCTAGTATACTTGTGTAAGCCCCCCCCTCCCCCCCCCCCAAAAAAAAAACAACAAAAAAACAAAAAAATACATTTATTTGTTTGGTCTAACCCGGAATAGGGTAGCAATGAAACGAAAACTTGAAAGTATAAAACAGCGAGGACGAGGACGGAAACAGGACATCTTTCAGCGAGAACGGGAACAGGACAAAGATGTCCTGTTCCCGTCCTCGT